GAGTCGGAAGTCTTCTCGCTGAGCTACTTTCATATTGTACGAGAAGTGAGAATTTGTACACTTACACCGCAAGTTTCAACTGTTTCGCTCTGCAGCCGTTTTGCACTAGTTCAGAGATAGTTATGAAATATGTATGTAGGTCGGAACTTGCCAGACTGTCTCTGAATTTTACTGCAGGGGAAGTATTGCTTATACAAATATTGAATTATTTTGTCCAAAGGGTGAACACGTACATACATGCATATAGTACGTAGGCTTGTTGGGAGTAGAATGAAGGAAAGAATTTCTGCCATAAATGTGCTTGTGTAGACGGACTGAATCAAGCACACAAGTAGTAAATAAAAAGGAATATACACATATGGATATATAAACCCATATTATTTTTGCATATAGCGAGTATGTACATATTTACATACGTTCGTGTGATTGTACATACATATGTATATGTACTTGCACACCTATACATATATTTGTAAGTACAGATGTACTTATATGTGTAGTTTGAAGTCACACATTTTCCTCTACTCAGCTTTCGCTGACGTGTGTTCTCCGCGCCGCAAAGACTGTCATGCAATGTAAGGTGAGCTACATAAGTATATGTGGTTTTATTTTTCACTGTTTTGCCTGGCTTTACTTGCCCAATTCGTCGACGCTGCCATTTAGAACTGGCTTTTCGTAGCTAAAATAAATAAGAACATTATTATTGAAATGGAAATGAAAGCTTAGCTACATACATATATGCAAATCCAGCGCCATACAATGTGCTTCAATTGGATTCGTAAAATATTTTGGATAAAAAATACTTTTAAGAAGAGTGGCAAGAATAGTTAAAAAAGGGTCGTGGTACATATTCACTTGGAAAGGTGTGTAGTTCGTAGTATTCGAGATCAGTTAGCGTGTAAGTAAATCATAAGTCGAGAAATAAGTAGGCAAATGCATACAATTCTGTATTCAAATAAGCGAAATCTCTCCGACTGGAAGCACTTCCTTTCAAGTCAACGACAATTCAAAGGCTGTTTATGGTATTTAGTATGTACAAATGTGTACCTGCATTCAGGTACAAGTATATTTACTGTATACCTGTATTCTGGGCTATCGCTGAAACCATCGTAGTCCGATTTTCGTAAAATGTACGAAAACGCGATCACTGAATCCGAATTGCTACGAACGTATGCACTTAAAGTGTATGCTTCGTTCGTAGTTATTCGGATTCAGTGATAGCATCTTCGTAGATTTCACGTAAATTCGGACTATGACGGATTCAGTGACAGCCCAGGTTATCTTTTCGGTGCTTCTCTGTTCACGTAAATACGTATCTACATACGTATGAGCATATTTATCTACTACATTTGACGAATATGAGGGGACATGAGTAATATAGAAAACAATGCGATGACATCATTGAGCCATTCGCAGTTTAAACAGCTGCTTGGAACTTTACACTTTCATTCCCGCCAAACATATTTATGTACATACATACATACTTGTTGAGTACATACCCTGCAAAAATTTGAGGACCACGTGGTCCACTATGTCGTAGTTTTAAAGTAAGTGCAAAAGGACCAGGTTGCATACTAGTAACTTGTTATGCTTACTTGGACCACTTCAAACGTAAAAAAGTGATATATGTGTTGAGAACCACCTCTTCGTGCCCCATCGGCAACATGATTCGGCTGCCGAATGTGCCATGGTGCAAAAGGAGTAGTTGTCGAGGTCGTCCCATGTTATGTAGCGGTAGACCAGAAGTGGTCACATGTTATGCAGCGTTGGACCAGAGGTGGTCAGGTCCAATGACATCGCAATGTTAATGTAACCATATTTTCTCCATATATTTGGACCATCTTGGTTACTAGTGTTGGTTACAAGGTAGCGTGGTCCCGTACTAGTATTTAACCTAGTCCCACTTTTTGCAGGGTATGTAGCTATATATTCCAACGATATGTACATGTATATGTAGGTATATCCAAATGTAGATACGTTTGAGTGGATGTAATGTAATGCCTCCATGTAATATATATATATCTATTTCACCCATTACAATTGTCGGAACATATGTACATATATATGAATGCATCCAAATGCATATGTATGTGTGTGTGTATGTACATTTATAGTGTGTAAACCGGTAAAACGTTGATCCCCTTAAAACGTTGCAGGCTGCAACTTTTACACCACCATCAAACAAAAATACTAATTGAAGCATGCAGTAATCGGGTGTTTGAATAAGCTATCGAATAAAGAAGGTATCCATGCAGGCTTACACACATGTACATTTATAAGTATCAAGAAACCAGAAAACCTGCCCCTTATTATAGCATACATTTATCAGAAGTGCATACACTAAACGTATGCATTTATGTACAAAACATGCATACGTATGAATGGAAATATCCATACAACAACTTATTCGGCCGCACCATTCCATCTACCGTTGCACGCTAAGCTCGCAAGTTGCATAGAATTACCGCTTTCACTTAATCGCATTGGTCGCTGGTAGACTTTTAAATTGTTGGGGTGTTCTCTGTTTTTTCCTACAATTGAAATTGCGTGGCCATTCTATAAATGATCCGCTATTCGTCACATTTGTGGGTTAATCTGAGTGAGAAATCGTTTTCAAAGTGGGAGATGTGTTTATGTCACGTGATGGTGAAAAACATATATACACACAAATACACGTACTATATGCATACAACCACGTATCGCGGTTCTTGCGAAATTTCGTAACTGACTTTTGCGCCAAAAATTAGATTGACTCACCGAAAGCTCCTGACATGAAGCCTTATCCATGCATTCCAAAATATCGATATTTAGATACCGGTTTAAAATAAGATAGGTTTTAAATTTGGGCAACTCCAAATACGACTGGAATAACATTTTATTTTGTAAATCAGGTGGGCGTATGACCGTTTTGTTAGCAAAAATTATGACTGGTATAACCATGGCAAGGAACTTTTTTACCTCCAGCTTAACCAGGACGACCCAGATACACAGCCTGCATATGTATATATCTGTGCATAGTCTATCGATCATCGGTATCCAAAATCCTTTGGACAATAATAATGCCGTTTCAATAACAACAACATATCAACGTAGCCACATTCGCCGGATTTGAAAGATTTATTCAAAAATAGTCAGTTGGATTTCGCCAAACACTATCGTTGGATCGATGTTTCGAAAGAATAGTCCGTCAATATGTCTACTGGGTAAAATAACAGCCTCATTGCGAGAGTCGTTTTTCGAGAGGCGAATCGTAACGAGAATTGTATGACATTGCCGAAAATTTCGACTCGACCAGTGTATTAAAACCGCACTGCATATTTTTCGACGATTTTCGTCTTTTACTTATTTCAGCACGACAGTAGACAATACTTATGTGGTCGAGTCGTACAATTTAGCCTAATTTACGACTTACGCAATGAGGCTGTAAATCTAAATTTTTTATTTTTACTTTGCATTTAATATGTATTACGTGCTGAATGCCTAGGAAAAATTTTTAGGGGTTGTACTTTGATTGAAGCCCAGATTTTTTAGAAAAAACTTTTTTTTTAACAACGACTGTAATTAATTTATTGATGTATGAATATATGTATGTATGTATATTTGGATGAAAATTTGTTGAATTTTTGTTTAGTTTTATACAAAGATTTAAACTTTGGTTTATATATCAAATGAATGAACTGCATTTCAATTGAAAATTTTTAAAACTAAATAAATACGCTCATAATGTAATAAATAGAGGTCGTAACTCATTTTCTTTCGAAATTCCGCTTGGTACAAAGTTCGATAGATTACTAACTAAGGGCCTAATAGAATTTGCATACCTGTTCTATATTAATCAATTAGTTTCAGTGTTTATTAAAACCTAGGTTTTTGAAGAGATTCCCAAATTAAAACTTTTAGTTTTTATAAAGTTTTTTAAATATACTATAGGCTTAAAAATTTTAGTAGGGGCTTTCTAAATTAAGGTAGATACATACAATATGCGAATTAGAACTCGTGCAAATTACTAAACATATGTACATACACATGCACGTATTTATTTACAGTATTGGCCATATCTATAGCACCCCCATTTCAAAGTGATATTGTTTGGCACTTATGTTTAATTATTAATTTTTAAGAATTTTCAATTGAAATATAGTTGATTGTCTAACAAAACTCATATAGACCCGAGCTTTAAACTTTGTAAAAGACTACAAAAAAACTCAACAAATTTTTACCTAAACTTCAACCTTTTTTCTCAGAAGTGTTAGAATTTTTTTGAGTACGCAGGCTAAAAATTACCGTTCATTTTTTAGATTTTTTTTGTCGCATTTGCTTTCATATAATGAATAAACGCAATTTATTTCTATATGGAAGAAACCCGGAACACCTTCGGCGACAAAAAATCTAAAAAACCAACGGTGAATTGAAACTTGCACATTGTTAGACTAAAATTTAATGGGCTATAAAACTGCGAACTCACAAATAAATTTAACACTTCTGAGAAAAACGTTTGAAATTTTGGTGGTTTTTGAAATTTTTTGTAGTTTTCTAAAAAGTTTCAAATTTGGGTTAATATGGGTTTTGTTAGAGAATGAACTGTATTTTAATTGAAAGTTCTTAAAAATAAATAAATAAACATGAGTGGGAAACAATACCACTTTGAAATGGGGGTGCTATTGTATTGGCCAATACTGTATGTACCGAGCTTTTGAAGGTCGCCGTATGCATCTTTTTGCGAAGCCAGACGCATGCCATTGAGGGTCACCATTTGCCGCGCTTTTATGTTCATGTGCAAGTAGATACCTCTATATGTATATACATTAATGTAAATAGTTACATACATGTGTACAGTACATAACCTTCACAAATTGCGCCAAGTACCTACAAAAACTCATTAAAATTTAACTTCACACTACTTGGATTATGGTATCATATTAAATGGCAAAACCCTATGCCTCACTTCCTTTTAGATAGTTATACATACATATAAACATATTGCACACGTAAGTACTTACTTTGCGTTGTGCTTCGGCAGCAAAACCAGACTTTGGTGCACGATTCGATGACATTTTGGCTTTAAACGGGTTTTAGGTTTTGAGATGTATTCCTTTTCTTTATAATATTTTGTATGTCTGCTGTACTTAGCAAGTTTGCGACAACGTTGTTTGTGTTGGATTACTGGAACAGCGATAGTTGGGATGTATAGTTTTCGGTGTACTATTTCGTTGTTATTATTCACAGCAAACACAAATTGGCGTAGTTGAGTGGGCGTTAAGCGGGATTTTCGGTTAGTTTATTGTATCACAGAGAGCGAGCAGACGCATCCACACGCGACGAATTTTTAAAATTTACTGTGAGTTTGTTTGGAGCAGATGCGACCAACAGCCGCCAGCTTCGAAAAGGTTTCCACCAATACACAAAAGCTCACTGAAAAGCTTTTAGAATGCCATATCGTTTAGTGCGTAGCTAGAAAAATATTTTGACTGTAATTTTAATAATATAGTCGCCGTAAAATGTTTTGTTTAATGGATCTGTGGTTTTAGCTATACTCAGAAACGTACCTTATTAAGTAAAATTAAAAAAAAAAAACCTTTTTTTTCGGGAAATTCGCAAAATTACAAATTTTTTCAATTGTTTTGAAATAGCCACTCGCATCCAAGTTTAAGATGTGACATTTTAGCCTTGCCACTTTAACAAGCCAGAAAATTATGTTATTCGGGCTTTACACGATCAAGAACATGCTTCAAGTCAAGCATCTGATAACAGTTACGCAGCGTTTTTGCTACATTGAAGCGAAGCGCACATTAGCTCGATTCTGACGTTGCGAATCCGCAGAGCCAAAGATTACACAATGTAACCCATATGTTTTAATGAGCATACTTGCACGATTCCGTCGCTGTGAATTTTTCGAACATTCATGCCACAAGCCGCGCTTCGAATGCGTCAAAAGAGAGGAAGAAAAGTGTCATAGCAATAAATGCAAAGAAAAAAGTGTGTGTTGTACAAAACATAGTAGATAACATGCCATGTTTAGAGCAGGGGTTGGATTCTGTAACTGTGATGGGGCTTTCGCAAGAGGCGATTTTTCAGGCAACTTTTGCGTTAAACTCACGCAGGGTTGCACGAAAAAAAATTGAATGGCTAAAAATATCAAAATATAATCTTTTAACCTATCGCAACTAATCGCTTCCAACAAAGTTGGTCGCCAGCCAATATTTAGCCATTCACTATTTTTTTCGTGCAACCCTGCGTGAGCCTCGTGCGAACACCTTTTGAGTTTCCAAGCGTACAGAGTTTGTTAGACTAGGCAATATTTCCAACTTTGTCACGCAAGCGAGATTTTCAGCATTAGGTCTGCGATAAGCGGTCTGGTTCTATCGTATGAAATGAATTGCATGCGATCAGCGTCCGCGCGTAGAGGCAGGGGGTCACGTTGTAGTTTTTTTTACTCCGGCAACTCTATATAGTTTTGCGCTTCTACAACTTTTTTATTGCTGCATTTCGTTTATCTCACCAAGTAAATAAATTACAAAATGTCTCCAGGACGAAAATCTAGCTTTATTTGGAACTTTTTCTCTGCCGCCTCCAATGAGAGGGCATGCTGCCGCGTATGTGGGAAAAGTTTTTCAAGAAAAGGTTGCTGCACATCTGGGCTCATCACTCATCTCAAGACGAAACACACAGAGACCTTTTTGCTATATCTAAATAAAGGCACAGTTTCTATAAATGGCGAAGAAGCAAGTCCGATTAAAACGGAATCAGCAGAAAGTAGTGCACCTACACGCCCAAAGCGGGAACGCGTAGCGAAAAAAAAAAAATTGGAAGATTCTGATACCCAGAGTTCCACAAGCGAAGAGTCATTTGAGGGATCTACGGTGCTCCCCAACAACACCGAAGAGGAGCAACATATGGATAAACCGATTGAACAAATGTGCTTGCAGGAAAATGAATATCCCATAATAAACATTGAAGGAAAAAATGATAATCCATACCAGGCGCCGCCCTCACAAATGGGTGCATCGAAAATAGAATCGTTGCTAACGAAGCAGTTACAAATTCAAGCCAAACTTTATAAGGAAATGAAAGAAAAATTGGAACAAATCAGCGCACATCTAAAAGAAGCCGAACGTCTTAACCGAAAAAGTTATCGACTGAAAGTGGAAAAACTTCGTCTGCAGAAGGAAGAGCTCAAGCAGAAAGAATTGCATCGAAAAGAAATGCATCGGTTGAGGCTCTTGGAATTGGAGATATTAAACAAAAAAAATGTACAGGACCAGTTGCAGTATAATTCAATTTAAAATTAATACATATATTCAACAATTTTTTTAATACATATATTAAGATTTAAGCTAAGATAAAGAGAAAATACAAACTTATGCAGTTAAAGAGTAGGAACACGTTCGGTACATTTTGACCTTGTAACTGTAGCACTGAGAATATGACTTCGAGCTTAAAAATAAATTATGTTTGACTATATTCAACAATTTTTATTGAGCTTGAGGCCGGTTTTAAAGAAAAACTATTGTGGAAAAGCCACAATAATTTAAAATGGTAGAAGTGATTGCTATTTCGGAAATCGGTACATTTAATTTTAAATTGCTTAAATGTGACTGGATATATGTAAGAAAATATCGTCACCTGAAATGCAAAAAGCCGTAACTAACAAAGTTTGCAGAATTCGATGATATGCATCATAATCGAATCAAAGAGTGAATTTTGAATTTGTTGTTACTTATGGTCTTTTGCATTTCAGGCGACGATATATACCCAGTAGATAATTTCAGGAGTTAAATGCCCTTCCGAAAGAAATGCCTGAGAGTTGAGCCCTTCCACTCTACATTCCTTACTCCTTTCTATTTTGTATGGAGTGGCACAAATTGAAGGGCTTCTTTCGCTACAATTGGAAGGCTTTCCAAAAGGGCTTTTATAGGACGTACTTCAGAAGGCCTTTTGGAGGAGTTCTTTTAAAGTTGCTTCTTTAATTTATAAAAATCATTCATCTTTGAAGTATCTGCTTAAGTTTTATATCAAATATGTGTTATTGCAACTTAAAATGTTTATTGAAATTCATTTGTAAAGCTATATTATTATAAATGTATGCATTCGCGTAAATTGTATATGAAAAGCCCTTCTAGAAGGCATGCAAGGAAGAACCTTTTTTCAGCCCTTGGGTAGGCCTCTTAGATGGCTTCACTTAAGGAGGCCTACCTAAATTATCTTCTGGGTATGTTTCTATAACATATAGATACATTTAAAAAAATAAAACCTCTTGGCCTCATTCTATCTATACTTGAAAATCATCTGAATTACGGGTTGAAAATTGGCAATCTAATGAACTTTTTAAATTAGAAAGCCACACCTACTTTCAAAATAATAGCGATTCCACATCCATCTGAGTCTCGTAAATCAAGTCTCTGCGGCTGGCCTTGGAAGTATTCAATTCGTTAGAATTTTCCACTTCGCTCTTGGCCAGTCTATTACATAGCTTTTGTTAAAACACCTAACCCATCTGAGCCCTATGTATGTATAGGGCAAGTCGCTTTAGGGAATTATGATAGGCAGTGTTGCTGGAGTGACAGTCCTTAACCAGATATAAATCTGGGTCATTGCGAGGAATTTGTATGCTGTTACAACAACAGGGAATTATGCTATCGTTGTTCTAGATATATGTACTCTAACAAAATAGGACAGAAGCTTTGCCACTACCACAGCCCAGGGAACACAGATCCAAACAATGGAAAGCAAGCGGAAGAAAATAACTGATTTTTACCTCGAATACAGGAGAAACCATAGAACCAATACAGTTTATACTCTAAAAGCTTAAATAGACGGCAGCTTTGATCCGGATTAACTCGGACTTAATCCGGATCAACTGCAGTTAACTTCCGAGTTGATCCGAATCAGCGCTGCCGTCTGTTTATGCTTTAAAGCAAGCGTGCGTAGCTCAGTTGGCTCACGACAACATCGGTGTGGCTAGCGTTGACTGGCCTACAACAAACGGATCGTTTAGGGAATGACAACACACGTTTAGGGAATGATCACAGCAAGCGTTGACTCAGTAAAAGTAAACTGGACATATGTAAATCGACCGCCATTTCATTCACTGTTGTTGTTAGGTTAGGTTAGATTGAGATGGCTAGAGAATGACTCCCCCTGTAGCGGTGCTTACTCGGGATCAAACTGAGTGTCGGGCATTCACATATGTATAAGGTGCTGTACACTCTCTTGCTCTTCTTCGTATCTGCAGCTGCGACAGTAGTCTGGCGCGTTCACTCCCAATCTCGAGGCATGTGTGCCGATTAGACTCCTCGTTGCGCTTTAACCCTGAGAGTGCTGACGTGCGTTTTTTTATCGTAGGAAGGCCATGTAAGCATAGCCGTTCCACAAAAGGAGAGGTTTCTGCAGCGTTCGTTTGCTGCTTGTATGGTGCTGTTCCTTGCATGTAATTTGAAAGTGGCCATTGGCACGTACACCTACATGTTCTCCCCGGAAGGATGGGGGTGATCGTACCATTCCTCGCCGGTTCGTCACATTTGCAGTTGCCTTCAATATCTCGCTGTCCAGGCACCCATATGAGTTTTAATTGTATAATGCTGGGCCATCCCGTTTAGAGATCTGCGGCATTCAGTGAGCGACTTCGTATTGGACATTATTCAAACATTGTATTGGTACGTTTTGGAAGTCAGCATCCCTTTTACTGAAATTCATTTGTAGTGCTAAATAATATAAATTTATGCATTTGCGTAAATTGTAAATGGATAAGCCCTTCTAGAAGGCATGCAAGGAAGCACTTTTTTCAGCCCTTCTCGGGTAGGCCTCTTAGAATGGCTTTACTTAAGAAGGCCTACCTAAATTATCTTCTGAGACGAATTTGACAGGTGATGATGGACTATATTTAATTATTCTTACGCTGTGGAAAATACAAACATTCAAAAAATAAAAAGTATAATCGACACCTTCAAGTGCTTCAAAAAAAGTAGTATGTATAGTAGTAGGTATATCCACTAGAGCCCTAACCTAACCTTATTTATTGAAATACCTTCCATCGCGCTAATGCAATACAAAATTGGTCTTCTATAGAAATAAAACACTCCTTCTAATTTATTTTCTTATCCTTGTCTTGAATTTATTTTTGCTTTCGATATTACTGGAAATTGATTCCACATTACGTTTGTTTTTGGGCTTTGTGTTGCCTGTTTGGAATTGTCTGTGTGATTATTTGCATTCAGACGTGTCATCGACTTAATTTCTTTCTTTAGTTAATAAATTTAAATAGTAATAATTATTTTAAATGTAACGATAACGATAGATAGACTTTTTCCTGGGGGTTATAGTTGAAATAAGATTAAATACATATGTATGTTTGCGTGTATGTATATTTAGGTATTTAATATTCTTGTAGTTTATGCTGATTAGCTCAGTGGTCACCGATGAGTTAGTTGCAACGCAGAAACTTAGGCAATAATGGTTTACGTGTACATATGATGATCAGTTAAAAAAAAAATTTTGCATATTAATTTATTATAAAACTAGTATATAAGATGCAAATATGTATATAAGCTGAAAATTTGTTAAGTGTGCGCCAGTTGTTGAAAAACGCATTTACAAATGATTATATGCAGTTACATACACTTTTTTTTTAGATAACAGTTAATTAACTAGTTACATACATATGCAGCAGATCTTTGTGCACAAACTGGCTTTTATTAAGACATGCATTTTAACTACAACTTTTAAATAATTTGATTATATATTAATAAGAGAATTTTAAAAACGTTTAGAGAACACAGCGTCAGTTAAGAAATTAGTGGTCAAAGTTAGAGCGCCACTGGAGTAGCAAAGGTCTTTGCTGAGGCAGTCTGCTAATTGAACTAAACATTTCTTAACAGTTAATTTTGATTAGCATAGTTTTTAGTGGTTTTTGATGCTGTTAGTAACGCCGAATTTTTAACATAAAATAATAACATCGTTACCACAGTTAGGCCTTTCCGCTACATAGTTTAGTTAAGATGATTGTTTGCGAACCCGATTAATACTTTCTATAATTTATTTTAAGTGTGTCCTGGTGCTCTACAATAACGACACAACTCCAAACATAAAAAAAAACACTTACTACTGTTATTAATCCTGTTTCCAATTCTTGTCTAATCCTTTGTACTTACTTTATAGTAAGGGATAGACATGAACCACTTAACAGCCGTAGGGGTTGTTTGTTATTTTATTGTGTAGTTATTGCAGAGGACCATCGATGTATGTACATAAGCTGCCTCAAGTTAGATCTGCCAATATAATGTTTGAAATTAACTTCATCTTTTTAAAATATTTTAATATTTTTTTTTGTGTTAGAGATCTATAAAATGTATGTATTTATTAAACTCCTTACCGGCGCCGTTCTTTTTTGTTATGATTTTTTGCTTCCAAATTGAAAAGTATTATTTTGGATCTTCACTTCCTCACATTTTTTCATGCATAACATAACATACTTGGGCGCAACTACTACTAAATGTTAAAACCAGTTTTTCAGTTCAGTTTTTCCCAGAAAAATTATATAATTAAAACACCGTTTAGCTTGAAATGAATATGAAGTGCAAACGCTCAGCGATGCACAATCGATTTGATTACTCGCTTAATTGTTGTGCCGGATTTTTAAAAACGCCGACCACGTTAATTGATTTGACTTGATCATTTGGGAAGTTGGTTACTTTCAATAAATAATGGAAGGAATTTATGTAATTATCTCTCCAAAAGCTCGAACACGCAGAATATATACGTAGATGACTTTAGTAATGAAGTTGTGTAGTCTTCACGACACTTTTTTGTCAACTTCAGTCACAAGTTCCTAACTAAACTCAATTCGTACACAATTTCATCTCATGCTTTTGCAAATAAGCTTAATATGCTCAAAGATAGGTATTAAATATATGAAAAATTTATATTTTAATGTTGTATCAGCTATTACAATGTGTATACATATAAATAAGTTATATTAACAAATTAAAACATTTTGTTTAATTTTTTTTTTTTCAACTAATTTTTAAGTATAAGCTTTGCAAATATATATGTATGTATATAGTAAATGTAAATTTAGATAAAATAAAAATGAAAAAAAATATATATGTATATGCATCAAAAATCGGAAAATACATTAACTACACATAAATATAGAAGTAACTTATATAAACTCGCACACAATATTGCTGATATACATTATTTTGCTTTCGTTTTTTCTTTATTTAGTTTAATAGGTCGATTACGGATATCAACCGAACTTCAGTTGCGTGGCGAGTGGCTGAAATGGTATTGCAGATGGCAACTGAAAGCCGACAATTGAGTCGGCAACGGCATTTTTGTGGTTGCCGCGGAAATTTTGATTGAGAAAATTTACATATTTCTTCATTCAACTATTTTAGCAGCTCATTTACACTCAAGCCTTAGTTGCTGGCAACTCAAAATTTCATTATCTTCAACTTTATAGCACCTAATTATAGTTGCTTTTCATAATATACATTTAGACATCGGCAACCCAACTGAGGCTGCGGTTTTCCATAATCGACCCATAAATATATTAAAACGCGGCCACCACTTTATTTTATTCATTTTCCTTTTTTAGCATAGTCTTGTTTAGCCAATAAACAAAATTTTGGACTGGCTGCTCGAACTGGCTTTTGATTTAACTGCTGCCAAGTGCAGGCCTGCGTGCGGGTCTGCTGATGCCTGCGGCAATTAAGGCAATTTAATAGACCCACCCTAATATTGAAATAGAAAAAAAAACTATTACAACTCTTTACATATCAAAAAGATTTACTCGATTGGCAATTTCAGTTAAAGTTTAATACCATTTTTTTTTGTTAATTTGCACGTCGAATGCGCGCCTAGCTTTTTGAAAATAAATATTTAAATTGCGTTAAAAATAATGAGCAAATCGAGAGAACAAGCATTTAAAATAGAAATAAAAACCTAACACCAAAGAGGGGGAAAAGTGGTGTTTAAGATTATATTTTCACACAAAGATATAGATTGGCAATTTATTCAAAAAAAAAATTGCTGGCTTGTGAGCAAGACTTGATCAAAATTGTTACCACGAGTTGAAAAGCAATTTTTGATATACACACGATTATTTTTGATAACATTTTTCCTAAAGCATTTTAACTGCTGCGAGAGGCCTCTGAACAAACTCATAGGCTTCCTAAAATCGAATACAAGTTTCATTAAATATACATATATATATGTAGTATGTATGTATACTTTAACTATACACTTGCGGCATGATGGTACATTTGAAACGCAAAACATATGTATATGAAAATAAGTTACCAAATCAGTGGGGAAAAAAGGCGCTTATGTGATTAGCTTGAACGCTTAAGAATATAACTTGTGTGCTTTTTAGCTGCTGTTTGGTAGGAAGAACAAAGCCACATCGTGCCACGTATATATATAAACAAATTTTCCTCCAGCATTCAAATTTATCATATTAGCAAAATATATATAGAATCCCTATGTGGCATTTATGTCATTATGAATTTTGTGCAATACGCATTAATAAATTTACATACATATGTAACGGCAGGTGCACGCAGAAATGGTTGACATGAAGTATTTTTATAGTAATATATACATATTTGAAAAATGAGAGACCTCTCAAGTCTCGCTGCATTCAGTTCATTTTTCAAACATAGATGCTCGTAGTCAATGTAGAGTTTAGACAATTAGTTAATCATTCGTTTTCCTAAATAGTATGTATACTCCATTGTTTTACATGTATGCAAGTTTATCTAAATGGACTGTATAGCGAAAATATGGATCGCATCTCAAAACTTAGCGCAGCATGAAAATTTGCATTTTTCATGTTTTCAACATTTTTGATTCTAATTGTGTGTGTGTTTTATACTTACAGCAAGTGACTTTCGATTTTTTTTTATTAAATGTTTTGTTCACAATATTCACACAGTTTCAAACATGTATACTACCGTAGTATGTAGATTCAATAAAGTTTCATTTACCATTGTTGTTTTAGAAAATATTGAAAGATATTTAATTTTCCAGCTCTATACAGTCGAACACCCTGTTGTTCATGTCCCTCGCTTTAATTTAGCTTTCTATTTATTGCGCTGCGCTTTTAAACTGAAGTTTTGCTTACACAATATGCAATTTTCCTGCAAACAGTTCTGTGTAATTTCTCATCTCTTTTATCTCAGCATTTTCAATGTCTAACTAAATTTATTTGATATATATGCATATATATATATATATATGTTTTTTTGCTTTTGCTTCGGGAGGAACATTTGCCGTAGTTTTATGCATTTTCCCTTTCTTCTTCAGTATTATTTATTTTGATTTAAATTATATTCTAATCAAAAGTTTTATAAGAATTCTTTGCCTTTCATCATTTGCCGTTGCTTCAAATGAGCCAAGCAGTGTTTAGCTAATATTTTTGTTTTTCCTTAATATGCACTTTGCTTTAGCTTTTTCTTTGCTTCTACAATATACATGTATTATTTTTAAATTAGTTAAACTCGTAAATATTACGCCCTAAATGTCAAGTAACCACAAACTGTCGCATACACTCACACAGCATCTTGAAAACGCCAACGCGCACAATCAATGGGCTTATTTTTTTTTTCAAAAATTCTCATAATTATGCTGCATCTTATAATTGTTGCAGTTTTTAGTTTGCGCGTCCGTAAATTTGCAGGCTACTAGCACGATTAGACTCACAGCAATGAAATATCTGAAAAAAGAAATTAAAAAAGGAGTTTACAATTTGCGTTTACTAAACTTTTTTTGTGAAAATGTTGAACACACCTTTATTTTCGTGACTATCTGCAGTGACTAGTGTTGCGGTTGTTGTTGTGTTTAACAAACTGTTGTTGTTGTTGAAGTTTACTGCATTGTTGATATCTTGTGACTCAATGCTCAAATCAATTAATTGATTTGCTGCTGCTGTTACGGTATCCTGCAGGTTATTGATATCACTTTTTTAGGGAGCGGAAAATTGCAAGTAAAAAGAAATGAAAGAAAATTATTGAAGCACATAAAATAGCAAATAAAAGTAAGCATAAATGTGCAATTGATTTAAAAATATAAGAAAATGGCTTTACAAATTAAGGCATGCATTAATTTTAAAAGAGTGTACCTATGGAAGCAAGCTGGGTATGTATGCATGTAGTCACCTGTGACGTATTCAGAAATACTAAAATATAGTAACAAACATAGTTGCACGCATAAAAAGCTGTAAACTTTCAGAATTATACAAAATAAAAAGCCAGTAAGCAATGCTTATTCGAACCAGTATTATATAACTGAGTCGTTCCGGTTACGTAGACCCGATTTTCGTGGAACAAGATACTAGGTAGTCTGCACAGGCAACTAAAAAATCTATGCTGTTTACCTTTCCCATACTGTGCCAAAAAGAATAGTCGCAGAATTGTTCGCTCGATTTAGTTATGGAAACCTCGTTGTTAAAGATGGATCACGCTCTGATCGGCCAATCACAGAAAAGTCTTTGAAATAATGGAAATGAATGGGCGATATCGACATGCAAGCAGTCATGAAAACGCTTGACAACTAAACATCCATCATCGAAGAGTATTTAACTATTTGGGAAGGTGGAATACAAAAAATCGATGCTTGGGTACCTCGAAAATTAACGGCGAAAATATAATCGAATTTTCATCTGAGAATCATTTTGAAAGGAAATTAATGAAAAATGGGTCGCATACAACAAAAACATGATCCAAAAGCAAGAAGCTGCATAAATCATAGAAATTTCAGATTGACTCCACAGCAGGTAATGGTATGTGCTTGATGAGATTCAAAGGAAATTGCCCATCTTGAAATACTAACGACTGGAAAAACGTTCGATTCTTATCTCTACTGTCAGTACATACGGAATCGCTAAATGTATCGATGGACACACCTATTATAATTATAGTATTCTAAAGAAATATTTCAATACTCCGATAGCGATATATTGAAAACATTTGCGATAAGTTGATATAGATCGATAGAGTGTTAACAGTGGCGGTAAATATGTACATATATATGTATATCGATAAATATATTTAACGGTATCCCAAACGACAATGAATACGAATATGAATGATGAAACGGCGAGTTAATTGTCTGTGGCGCGGAAAGTTGCCAAAAGGTCAACGAACAAAGCACACCATATATAGATTACTATATACTAGTTTTATCCGTGCTATTTACACGCAAAAAATTACGCAGTGTCTTTTTAGCCTACCCGCTAGTTAATTAAGTTAATTTAAGTTTTTTTCTTTAATTTATCAGTTGGAATAATTTCTGGGTCTATTTTCATGTCCACCATAGAAACGAATTGATAAGAATTTGTGTAAAAGACTCTGCCGACTGTTTCAAAATTGTAACCCTACAACTGATATTTTTATTTCCTTATCTCCGTTGTTAATCGAACATTTGCTTGGCAATAAATGATCATAATAATTGTCAGAATTTTCACAATACATATCCATTCTTTTCACGCGTCTCTTTTCAAAAACCTGCAGCTGATGACTCAAGTGCAAGGTCAACTCACAAAACCCGTTTTTTATGCAGCCATTTTTTCTAAAAGCATTTTCTTTTAGCCATGCATTATATNTAATTGTCTGTGGCGCGGAAAGTTGCCAAAAGGTCAACGAACAAAGCACAGCATATATAGATTACTATATACTAGTTTTATCTGTGCTATTTACAAGCAAAAAATTACGCAGTGTCTTTTTAGTCTACCCGCTAGTTAATTAAGTTAATTTAATTTTTTTTTTTTTAATTTATCAGTTGGAATAATTTCTGGGTCTATTTTCATGTCCACCATAGAAACGAATTGATAAGAATTTGTGTAAAAGACTCTGCAGACTATTTCCAAATTGTAACCCTACAACTGATATTTTTATTTCCTTATCTCCTTTGTTAATCGAACATTTGCTTGGCAATATATGATCATAATAATTGTCAGAATTTTCACAATACATATCCATTCTTTTCACGCGTATCTTTTCAAAAACCTGCAGCTGATGACTCAAGTGCAAGGTCAACTCGCAAAACCCGTTTTTTATGCAGCCATTTTTTCTAAAAGCGTTTTCTTTTAGCCATGCATTATATGTATTTAAAAGTGCTTTGCTATCTGTCAATTTTAAAGTTAAGCTTTCTTACTTTTTATTGTTCAAGTTTTCGATGTGATGGCCATTGCCGTTTGCGACAGTGGTCGCATTTATTGTTGTAGTTGTTGTTGTTGTGGTATTTTGCAAAAGCACATCACTGTTAATCGGCAATTTTCCATTGCTCACCTCGAGTATTNTTTTTATTGTTCAAGTTTTCGATGTGATGGCCATTGCCGTTTGCGACAGTAGTCGCATTTATTGTTGTAGTTGTTGTTGTTGTTGTGGTATTTTGCAAAAGCACATCACTGTTAATCGGCAATTTTCCATTGCTCACCTCGAGTATCTGTGTTGGTTGCTGGAAATGTTGCTGTTGTTGTTGGAGATTTTTCACATTCTCATCGATAATCATATTGGAGAAACTATTTATCAGCGCAGTTTCCTTGTCAATAACGGCTTGCTCGTACATGGCCTGCGTATTTTGTGGCTCCAATTTATCTGTTGTTGGTGCTGGTGCTGTTGTTGTGATGTTTTGTGTTATTGGCGGATTCGGTGTGGTCGCAGTTGTAGTGGAGCCCGACGTTGAGCTACTGTCAGTGCTATTAACAGCATTGGTTGCTGTAGTTGTTGTAAAGGATTGTTGATCTTGTTGTGGTGTTTCTTGTGGTTGCAAGTTCTCGGCAGCCGATTTAGGCGTAGTGCTTTCCTAATGGGTGCAAACAAATTCCTGATTTATAGAAAAAAATAAACAGATAAATAACTAACCTTTACTGGTGTGGAATTGGGTGTTGTCGCGCTGCCACCACCACCACCACCACCTCTACGTGTACGCGACATGATCGCTTCAACGCGTTTGCGTCGTTCTTCGCGCTCCTTTTCTTCTCGTTTAAGACGTTCGGCAACCTCAAGTCGTTGTTTCTCTGCTTCTTCCTTGGCCTTTTTATCGGCCTCCTCGCGTTGTACGCGCTGTTTATCCTCTTCTTCACGCTTGCGGCGTTCCTCTTCTTCCTTTTGCTTTGCCTCCTAAAATGCGAAAGTGCATGTAGTTAATGAATTATTTCATCAATACTCGCCACTATTAAATTTTGCCCTACTCACTTCAATAGCTTGGCGCAAACGCTCTTCCTCTGCTCGACGCTGTTCCTCAGCTAAACGATTCGCTTCCTCTTCGAATGCCCGTTGACGTTCAGCCTCCTCTTCTTGACGCTTGAGTTCAGCAAGGCGTTCGGCCTCCAAGCGTTGACGCTCCAACTCAGCCTGACGTTCAGCCTCTTCACGAGCAAGACGACGTCGTTCGGCCAATGCAGCTTTCGCCTCTTCCTCAGTAGTAATCTTGCTTTTAGCAATCATTGAAGCGGTCATGAGGTCATTACTCTCGCCGTTCTGGGTTGGTGGCGAAAGCTCACGTACTTCTGAATTCTCTTTGCTGCCATTTTGTGAACGTGGCTGTGGCTGTGGCGGGGCTGGTTGCTGCTCCGCTTGTTTGGGCTCAACACTTTCCACTGCTGGGGATGGCTCTATTTTGGCTTCAGTTACGGACACAAGGCTCTCTACGGCCTGTTCTATTTCACCAATAACTTCAATTGTAGAACCTAACGATTCGGTGCCTATAGACTCGGATGCGACCGAGGCTGGTGCTGTTACCATTGTTGGCTCAGTTGGTGCAGCGGCAATCGTATCAGCTGTAGTAGACTCAGCCTCAGATTTTGCAATATTTAATGAATTCTTCTCTTCTTTACTCTGTACCGGAGCTGGACTTTCCTCCTTCTTTTGCTCAACAGCAGTGACTTTGTCTTTTTCGCTCTTCGTTATTGTCTGGCTCGGAGAAGGAGAAATTAATGATTTAGTCATTACGTCTTTACTGGATCTATTCAAGCGATCCGAACTGGGCGTTTTTGAAAGCGATTTGGGTGTGGTGGCTTTGGGTGTTACTGAGTCCTGTAATTGTAAGACAAACAGTTCATTATATAGCAGATTGTTTAGTGATTGATATACAAAGAGCTTACCCGTTTAGCTGAGGGTTTCTTTTCGGCGCTGGACAAACGTGAAGAAGATGACACAAACATTGAGGTCGACATCATATTTGATGTTCGTTTGGGGGTATTTTGTGCTGATGTTGTAGTTGTCGTAGATGAAGGTGTTGAAGCCTTCACTGGCGGCCTGTTATCTTTTTTGTGTTTATTAAGGTCTGTAAATTGGGGCAAATAGTTAGCTATGTACATTTGCGATAAGTTTATATACAAAGTGATCATCCTCTAAGACAAGAAATATAACAACCAAGCATCACGCATACGAGAGAACTATTTTATCAAATGAAAGCGCGTATGTACAATTATGCACAAAGTATGTACGAGTATGCAGTTATGATTATATGTATGTATGTATGTACATATTTACTATGTTTTACATTATATGAAAAGCACATTTACTCACCCTCCAGCGACATGCCAGTACCGGCAATACTAGCTGGCCGTTGCTTACGTGTGGCCGGTACAGATCTTCTAGCCACGTAACCAGATGTGGATATATTTGTGGATGTGGACATTGCACTACCCGGCCTTGAAGTGCTGATGTGGCCGCCTGGGGTGACATTTCCAGAACGTGAACCTAACACCGATTCAACAACACAACGACATAGTTATGTGAATAATAAATGTTACATAAAATAAAATAAAAATTATATACAAAAATTAAGTGATTTGGTGATGAAGAGCTGAGAGTAGATGATTTGGTAAATGAGTTGTCAATTGATGTAATGTTTAAAAACCAAAGTACGACAAAAGAAACATCCAACAAAAAAAAAAATAGTAACAAAGACGAACAAATCCACCACCAAAACTGAAAACAAATACAAATGCATGTTTAATACACGCCTAAGTAGAAAACAAAAAGCGTTTAAAACACAAAGAGCAAGTTTATTAAATACACATATGTACATACATATATATTTTTAGCAAAAGATACCCAAAACCAATTCAAGCGAAGCAAATACAATTATATTTTTTTTTTTTGCGACAGAGGATTAACTGCTCGAGCCTCTACAGGTGGGATGCTAATTTTTGCTAAGATGTGGATATGGCGGCTGGAGCACATTTTACGTTCAAACACTTATTGGAAAGGCTAATTGTATTAGGGTAATGCGTTAGTTTTGGATATTTAAAAAAAAAGTGCAAAAAATTGGAGAGTGCCGAAATTTAAACAAATTTGTCTAGTGAATGGCTGAAATTTTCAATATCACCCAGACTGTTTAAGGAACGTGTTTGTAGTTTTTGTAATTGAATGATCCAATTATGCCAATTTCAATTTTCTAAGATAATTTTCTTGTTAAATTTAATTTTTCCATATTCATCGACATTAATACTAGAAATTTATAATTATTATTTTTGAAATTGAGACATCTTCGAAAACTCTTCATTTGGATATTGTGCCGGGTGGAGTCAAAAGTCATCGCTTACAATATTTGCAGCAGCCGTTGTTCGCACGTTCTGGCATCACTGAAGCCATTCGCATCCAGACAGCGGCGCGAAAAAAATAGGAACGCGACAATTTAACAAGTTTTGGCTATTCTTCTTTACTTTATTTAATATTTATAATTTTTTTTATAAAAGTATAGCTCATTTTCGAATAAAAACCACATAAGTACAAACTTCAAACTTTTTAATGAGCATTTTTACAAAACATTTTGGTATGCAGTTCTATAGCCCATTAAATTTTAGTACAAAAAAGTGCAAGTGTGAGGTTCCTAAAAAGCCGCGTTGTTTTTTTTTAATAATTTTTTTGCTGAGGGTGTTACGTATTTTTTCCAATATAAAAACATTGTCGAACATACTTTGTATGAAAGAAAATTCGTAATAGCACACATAAATATAAAGATCTGGCCTAGCACTGAGACTGCAGCAGTTTTTTTTAAAAACTCAGTGGTGAATTTTATGTTGTTACAACAACAACAACAACAATGAAACCCAAAATAAAAGCATTGATGAAGTTAAAGCCTTAATTACACCACCACTAAAAATTGTTGGTATTTAAAATCAATCAAGAACAGCAAGCTCGATATTTGTATTCCTTGAAATATATGTACAATGTCTTTTCGCTCCACCCAATGAGCGGCATAATGTGGTGCGCTCAAAAAAAAAACTCTACATTTCACTTTCAAACTTAGACAACGTTATATTTAGCGCCTAAAACTATGCAACAATTAGGTTTACGAAATTTTTATTACATAATGATAATGTGAAATTAACTCCGGGATCTATGATTAGGTGATTGATGATTTTGTTTTATTTTTGAAAATTCTTTTTAAAGAATCGGTAAAGACTTAACAAAATGAGCATGTGAATGTATAATGTATAACGTAACTGTAAAACACCATCGAAAATAATGCTTACTTTGCAAACAAAGCTAAAGACCAAAGCTTAAGGTATTGAGCAAAATATGTGCCTTATTGGTATTTTTCAATTCGTTTTTGCTTTAGATTAAATAACTCAGACAAAGAATAGACATTGACACAGACAATAACTATTTACAAAGACACGATTTTGCTCAACAACTTGGCAAGCAGGAAGCTACAGCTATGAAATAATTTTATACAAATAGAGTGCTAGTAGCAAAGTGTATGTAGGTATGTGTGTTTAATGGTGTGTACAGTCGTTTTGAAATATATTATATAAATAATTACACATTTTTGCAGCTCAAGAATATTACATAGAAAACGCATTTGTATGAAAAGTGAAATTGTATGGTTCTATGTAAATTAATTCACTACAGAGTCACGCAAAGCCGTGGGAGAATTCCAAATAAGATAGCGTGTTTTTGGCGAGTAGACGAGTTCTGAGTGCCGCGTAGTAGTATTTTTTCACACAAGGACTTAAAACAAATGACCAAATGCAGTGAATCCACAGAGTGGTGAGTAAGAGAGGAGGTGGAGGAATGAATCGAAGTTAAAAAGAGAAGAGAAACATAAGTATTTAGCATATGAAACACAATATAACTGGTGTTTGGTTGTCATGAAATGGATTAGCAAAAGTTATTATTATTATTACATATTTCTTACGGTGATAATTTTAGTGATTTGCTATTTTATTGATTGGTTTGGTTTGATTTAGCTATTATTGGTTGCTTGGTTGTTAAATTATTATACCATAAAGAGTGTGAGAAAAAAAAGAAGAAAAAAAAATACAACAAAACTTCACGAACACACACCTGTTGTTATTGAGAAACTAGAATTCATGATCAATAATGAGTTTGGATCGAAACGGTAGGGGTTAGTAAGATGATTTAGTAGCTGCTGGCTGCGTTTAGTCCCAATCGCGGATGGTGATGAAGCTAATGATGATTGCAGATACTTTCTAGTAGCAGCCGTTTGTAAGCCCAAATTCGAGCGTGGCGTTGCGCTCGACCATGAATTGTTTAACTGCGTTAAACTCTTACAGGTGGTATCGCGTTGGCCACCGTTCAATGGACGAAAACTGCTGCTGGATATGCCGCCACCGCCGCTGCTGCCTGCTGCACTACTAAGCGAGTATTTGGCGCGCCCACCGGCCAGATGTGTCATACTGCGTGACATAGCGTTAACACCGCCTGCACCGGCACTGCTACTACCGCTTCCATGTCGTGGTTTGCTTCCATGTCGTCGCCGACCACCACCACCCAAAGATTCGGTTTCGTCCAAGAGTTCCATTTGCTCGCGACGTTCTCGTTCGAGTATAGCGCGTATATGCTCGCCATTGCGACGTATCGGCTGAGCCAATTGATCCAGACGACTCATGGAGAAGGCACGACCTGATTGTTGAGTTTTTGCATTCGCAACAAAGATGATGGATATTGTCGTCGTTGCGATTGATGGCGATTTGTTGATGATGCAGGAGAGGAGCAGTGAATTGAATTGAATTGAATTTTGAGTTGAGTGAATTGATTTTTGTGTTTGATATAAGTTTTTTTTTTTTTTTTTTTCAAAAATTAATAAAAAATTTGATAAACAAATTGCAAATTGAATATATTGTGAATTACAAAAAAAATATATATTTAAAATAAATAACTTAATGTTAATAAACAAGCTAAATATAAATAAGCTAATTTATGTATACATATGTTTTATGCGCTCTGTGTGCTATATTTGTGGTTTTGCGGCATAGCGTAGGCGTAGCAATGCACAAGGCGCGTGACATTGCTGCTTTGGATTTGGTGCAAATAATCACAGTGAAACTACAACAAAGTACAAGTGAAAAAGCGAGTGGTTTCGTAGGACGATACATACAATATTTATAGTGGTAGAAATAATTGCGTATAAGGTGAAAAAATATATAGAAAAATTAGTTTGCAGGAAAAATCTTTTTTTGATACTTTTTCGAAGCGGGAGGCCCAAAAGCAGCATTTACATGAGACGATTTTTAAGCGTTTCAACATCGCCTGAAAAATTGAAACACAATTTGCGCAACCGTTTTTGAATCGCGTAGAAAATCGCCTCATGTAATGTGTTACTTAATTAGCATTCAAATAGAGTTTACAAGTTTTATAAAGTGATGTTTTTTATACGATTTACATATAAAGCATTTAACCAGGGAAACAATGGCTAAGATAGTTGCAAGTCTTTTGTAAGACAATTGAAAGACAGTAGGTAAGATATGTATGTAGTTAGAACAATTTTAATTAATATATTCACGAGCCTTACAAAAAAAAGCTCCTTGGCAACTTTCTGCGTGAAAAAGCTCTTTTGACAGAAAATATGGAGCATGATCCAAATAGAGATGTATAGTATATCACCGAGAGATCCGACGTTCGAATCCTTGGACAATGGAACTTTTTTTATTATTTTTTTTTAATATTATTTATTTATTATTTAAATCAATTTGTATATTTATTTGTTTAAATATATATATATATAAATATATGTATATATATTTTTAATTTTTAATTCTTTTTCTTTTAATTTTATTGTTTTGAAAAGATAAGTATTTTTTAATTTCATTTAAGTTTTAGAAACTTATTTTCTTTTTTTTTTAATTTAATTTCCTTGTAATTTTTAGATTCTATCGCTTTGAAAAGAAAAACATTTTTTTTAACATCATTTAATTTTTAGGAACTTATGTATTTAATTTTTTTGCCCTTTTTTATTATATATTTTTTTCTTTTTTTTAATTTAATTTTCTTGCAATTTTTAGATTTCATTGTTTTAAAAAATGTTTTTTTATTTCATTTAATTTTTAGAACACAACTGATATTTTTATTTTCTTAAATAAATTTTTTTCTTTTTATTAATAAATTTTCTTTTAATTTTTGGTTTTTAACGTTTTAAAAAGAAAAAAGATGTATGTATAAAGCTTATTGCTATAAGACAAACAGAATAACGCTAGACCTCCTTGTTGACAGATCTTTCAATTATTTAGTCTTTCGATAGACAGAAAAGAGCTTTCCAGATAGCTGCCCGATTTGACAATTTTCTAACGAAATACTGTGGTGAGTTGAAAGACAGTTGCCAGTATTGCCATGTAAGTCTATTTTATTCATTGTATTTGGTTATCACGCTACAGCATACTATATCAGATTTGAAACCTCTTGAACAGCGAAAGAAAACATTTCCGTATGAAATGAAGGGGCTTAGATCTTACATTTTTGTAGCAAATCCAGTGTTTGTAAGTAGATATACCATAAGAAACTATAGTACACCCAGCAGAAAATTTCAGGAGCTAAAAGCCCTTGCGAAATTCTTTTGTTGGAGTTTTCAAGTTGCTTATTTAATTCACGGAAATTGTACCTCTTTAAGGTATTCAGTTATTTAAAGTTCATATGAATTGTGTTTTATGCAACTATTAAGGCACTTGACAAATCCACATCAAGGGCAGTAATGGAATACATACATACTCCAAAATAGCTAGCGAGCAGGCACGTCACATATATAGTCTGGGTGCCCTGCCGCAGGATTATACGAATATATATCAGCAAACCTCACTGGTTGCAAGTAAGGGATCCATTTGCTCGGCTTTCAACGCCGGTATACCCCTATAATCTTGTAAACTATAGTTAAGAGTAAAATTGTATTGCACAGACTAATACAAGATGCCATCTTGTAGGATAGCATCACACATCGGGCCCAAATTAGATAAAACATTTAGTGGGCCCATGAACATCTAAGAGGTACGCCTGCATCTAATGTTTTATGAGGACAGCCTTGATAACCTACCCACCTATCTAATGCAGAAATAGGACGATGTTTTGCCTTGAACTGGAGTCGGAAGTCATTTTAATTTTTTTCATTTTTGATTAATTTCATTTCATTTATTGCAAAATTATTAGTTTGTCCAAAAATTTAAATAAAGTCCAGAAAAATTGATATTTGGCGCAAAAGATTTTGCTGAGTTTTAGGCAGAGCTTCTCCTATAATTTTTGGTGTGACTTTTAATGTTGTCGCTGACAAGTTTACTTCGGCTTAGCTTGCATAAATTGCTTGCTCAGTAACAGAAAGGTAGAAATAATCACCTCCAAAAATAGCAGACATGCTACATCAAAAGGAGGTTATTCTGGAAAACATACATACGTGAAAGAAACAGCGAAGAAAGCTGCAGATTATTTATGATTACTAGCAAAATATACAGTGGTCCACAAGCAATAGGAGCGCGATTTTTTCACCCGTTTTGACTTTTTTCCTTTGTTTGGTTAATGTTTATCAGTTTTTTTTTTTATTAAAAGTATAGCTTATTATCCAAGAAAAACCACATGAATATGAATTTCAAACGTTTTGCAAAATAATAGAAATTTAAAATTTTTTAACCAAATTTTTATTTTTAAATTTAGGTATGCAGTTTTATAGCGCATTAAATTTTAATATAACAAAGAGCAAGTTTGAAGTTGCTAAAAAGTCGCATTGATTTTTGGCATTTTTTTTACTGATGCTGCTAGGCATTTTCTTCCACATAAAAAATTGTCGAGCATACTTTGTATGGACTTAAAAAAAAAAAAAAATTGCCCAAAATCAATAGTTGAAAAATTTTGGTGAAATTTTTTATAATTTTTGCACAAAGGTTTGGTTTTATATTGTTTTTGCTAGATAATGAGCTATGCTGCACGTGATATCCAGAGATCACAGCTCAATACTAAATATTTTCTCGGAATTAATACACTGGCGCTCACTCTCCACCACAGTTTTTTTTTATGAATTAGAATTTCGTACATACTTTTTTTTTTAATTACAGCAAAAACTATATAAACAAAAGCTACTAACGTTATACAGTATTTTTATTGAAATTTCAAACTTTGTTATCAAAATTTTTAGGAAAATTTCAAGAATGCAATTTTATAGCCCATTCAATTTTAGTACATATAATAATGTGCAAGTTTGAAGATGGTCTAGTGCAGTTTTTTTTCATACAACGCATGCATTTTATATGAGGGAAAATGCGCCAAATCGTACAAAAGAAAAAATGTCAAAAATGTACCGGAATTTTGAGCTACTTCAAACTTGCACTTGAAATTTTCATGAAAATTTTATAATTTTTATTTAAATTTTGTACAAAGTTTAAACCTTTGATTTATATAGTTTTTATATTGGATTGAACTATTTATATCAAAAAAAATAGTTTTTTATTAATTTACAAAATTTTACCTCATCAAAAAAAATAGTGGTGGTAAGTTATGCGTTACCGTCAGCATAGATGCACTATAAATCCACGAAGAGGGCACAATAGAACTTAAGGTGGCAGTCGCCTGATAGCCCATTGCCATCAAACGCTTAACTGCAGTTAATAGCTCAGATAAGTTATAATAATTTTAATAAGAGGTGATCCGTAAGGTTTATTTTTTAATTTTTGCTTTTTTCTTTCATTTAATAATAATAATAGATTGGCGCTTGCACATATGTTAGTGTTTGGCCGAGCATCTCCTCCGCTTTGTGGCGTGCGCCTTGATGTTGTCGCACAAAGGGGAGGGACCTACACTTTTACGCCGACTCCGAAAGGCGATTGTATTTTTTTTATGACAGAAAAATGTTGGGTGGTACCAGGCTTGAACCCAGGTCCTGCGGAGTGGTAGCGCGCACTGCTAACCACTACACCACAGCGGCCGCCTTTCCAATAGGCATAAACTGCAGTTAAGGCTTGGTGGAAATTAACTATTGGTAAAGTTATTTCAAATTAAGATCGCCAGTTACTGGCTTGCTGTGATGAAAGTTTAAGACCATTATTCCCAAGAAGCAGTATAAGGTTTATAAAACCAATGCTGAAATCAGTTTATAAAACCGAAGTTCATATACATAAAAAAAACAGCAAAACATACAATAAGCGGAAAGGCACAATAACAAAAGCAATACACACAAAGTGACAACAAGAAGCGGACGCAAAGAAATTTTTTGGCTTGAGAAGCCAAAGGATAGGTTTCAAACGAAAATATGTCGTTTATAAAAAACACAATGCATTGAAGGAAGAAAAAAAAATATCTAGACTGTTGACGGAAGCCCAGCGTTTATCGCCTTATCAGATAACTCAAAACAGTTGCGATTTCACGTGAAATACTTTTATGCAATAAATTGATGCATATTTTAAGGCTTCGCCTTTGAAATGTGCTCATTTTCCACGCAAAGGTAACGCAACTTCGAGTTGCATGATAAGGAGCAGCTTAGAGTGATGTGAATTGTTTTCATGAAGCGATTTTCTTACATTTTCAATGGGTTTTGTTTTTTTTTTTTGTACAAGGAGTGGTACATATGTATGTATGCAGAATGAATGTAGAATGTAAATAAAAAAAAAATATAGTATGTATGTATATTTGCATGTAGTATGGTACAGTATGTAGCACATGTAAGTACTTATAAATGTATTGTTCTTTGTTTAAGGGTTCTGGTTTGGTGGATATATATGAATTATTTGTTTGGTTGGTTGATTGACTCATCGACCGATCGACTGATTGTTTCATTTGATTGGATTAGTGATTTTTGTCTTTTGGGTTATTTATTGGCTTACCTGGGGTGCGTGGTGTGTGGATCAGTGACGATCTGGAACCATAATGCCCGTCCCTGGGGCTGGGTATTGTCGGCATCAAATCGGTTTTTCTGCGGGCTACACTTCGAAACACGATTTGTGTTGCATGACTATCGACACTATCGTCTGTAAAATTGTTTTAGTGTTTTTTGTTTGTACAGATATAGTTTGGTTTCAGAGTAGTTAAGTACATACATAAAAATATTTACATAGTAGAATATTGTTATGAGTTTGTACAAATGTACGGTTATGATTTCTGTTTTTAAATAAAATATTTCATTTTAATTAAATTGAAGATGTTTGTAAAGAAGTTTACTGAATGGAAAAAAAATATATAATAATAATAAAGGGGGAAAAACAGCGCAAAGCAGCAAGATCAGCTTATTAGTTGTTCTACATTTGTATGTGAACGGTACATACATTGTATATAGCACATTACGCGAGCGAGCATGCCACACAGCATTACAGCAAAAATGCGAAAAATATAAGGGAAAGAAAAAAATTAAGGTGGAACTATTTGTTTAAACGCCACTTCTATTCAAAGTTACTAGCTCGGCAACAAGTTACAAATTCGATGCCATAACTTTTGAGCGGCATCAATGGTGTGTTGATAGTAATTTTTGTTATTGAGTCAACGAGCAACATTCCGGAAAAAGAACACACATGCACAGGGTATACTAGCATTCAGAAAAAATAATCATGCCTTATTATTTTTAATACAAAACTATATTAAAGAATTGATAATTAAATAACATACAATTTACTATATATGCATGGCTTTTTCTAAAAAAAAAACTTAATTTAAGATGTTAATGTGAGGTTATGAAAGCTAAAAAAAAAAATAAAATATATTCCAGTCGGTTTGAATTAATTAACGGTTTGTACGCGGTCGCAAAATGGACGCAAGTTCATTGTGGGAAAAAAATTTTAACTTCAAAGTAGAAGAAAAAAATCTTCTTATAGAAAATAAAAAAAAACTAATAGTTGGTTTTTAGTAGGGTTGGGAGTTACATCCGAATAATCTAATATTATTAAAAACGCCTGTCCGATAATAAAATGAACGCATACTGACTGGATATCTGAATTTTACCCCCGTTTACACGGATAGTGCCTTCGTGTTTAAGTTTTTAAAATAAATATTTTAGGTTAGGTTGCCAATGTTCACAGGCAAATCTGACCTTTTTTTGAAATTAACACAATTTAAAAAAAAAAATAAAAAATCTTATCAAATAAACTAAAACCTGTGTTCTAAGTATTTTCTGGGCCTCGAGTTTAAAAAATAAAAATTACAACAGTTTACTATTTATGGGCGATATACAAAAAAAAAACTTTTTATTTTACAAAAAAAAAAAATTAAACCGCAAAAACTTAAAATAAAAATTTGTTTAATTCAAAAGATAAAAAGAGAAAATTGAATTAACATTTTTAAATTTAATTGTAAAACAAAAATTAATTTTTTCCAATATTTTTTCGAATATAAAATAAAAAATAAAAATATGAAGTTAAAAAGACTTTCTGTTTTGACAAATTCCAAAGCCCAATAACGAGCGCTTGTGCTTCTGAGTAAAGCCAATGTTCCAAGAGAACCGCTTCTTTTTATGATAACGAAAAAATCAAATCCTGATTAATATGCCTTGCTATGAATATTCTTTCCCATTTTTAAGATTTCAAGTTCTTCGAGTTTCAGGGACTCCCTCAGTTATGTGTATTTTGCCTAATTTTTCTTTATCTCTTATAAGTACTTTATTTTTTTTAAATTTATTTGCTCTTGGATCGACTATTCACTGTGCGAATTTTCAACAATTTGAAGGAGGGTCTGGATCCTTTCAGGACCTGAGCAATATAACGAGGATAAAGATACGACGATTTTTTATATAGATATAGATTTACATATCGCTCATTTACTTCAATAGTGTCATAATTACGGTGACCATTCGTACAGATTTTGGCGGGACTGTACCAACTTTAAGAACATTGTCCATATACTCGGGTCCAAAAATAAATTTTCGTACAAACTTCGAAGCACTGAGCTGCCGAAACTCTTTCGTTTTCACAAATGACATAGAATATAAGGGAGCCATTTTCCATGATCTTTGGTTATGTTTTATCCTTTCAAACTGGTACTGTCGCTAAATTTCCGTCTATCATTCCTGTCTTAATTTTTTTAAGGTTTTCATTTTCTGTTTTAATGAAACGATTCTAACTTGAATTTAGTGAAACTGTAAAAAATAATACTAATTCCCTCAAAAAATCATGGATATGAAAAATATAAGCTGTAGATACAGTGGCGAAAATATATATGAAATTGCAGCTCGTTATCTAACAAAGACCATGTAAGTAAAAAATTCAAACTTTGCACAAAAATTAGCAAAATTCGACAAAGCTTCGTCAAAATTTTGAGTTTTTTTAGATTTCTTAGAAACGTTCAGAGTGTGCAGTTTTGTAGCCCATTCAATTCAAAGTGCAAGTAGCAAGTAGCTAGGACTTACCGTTGATTTTTGGTAATTTTTTTTTTTTTGTGGAAGGTGTTGCTAATTTTCCCCATTAAAATGTAATGGGTTACAAAACTGCATACTCAAAACAATTTTAGAAAATCTGATTAGTTTGAAATTTCGGTTTACATGTTTTTTTTTTTAACCGACTTCGAAAAAAGGAGAAGGTTACCACCTTTATATATATACCGATTTCGATAATCCTTTTTTTTATCGGAATGTTAGTGTCTCCGAAGTGGTCCCATAGATCCGATCATTGGGTCATGAAGAAATTAACAGTACTCCTAAATTTTTATATGAGAATTGAAGTGGGTTGTGTTTTTGCTTAAAAATTACTTGTTACATAATAAATTACATTTTCATAAAAACAAAATAAATATTTTAAAACAAGTAATTTTCAGGCAAGAAAGCAAACTGACTTCAATTCTCATATAAAAATTTAAGAGTACCGTTAATTTCATCATGATCCAATGACCGGGTCTAAACCAAATTCTGAAAGTATTACAGAAATCGATTAACGGGGTCCAAAGTTATGCAGTTACATTTAAAAAAAAAATATTCCGACGAATTGATAACCTCCTCCTTTTTTGGAGTCGGTTAAAAAAGGGAAGTAGCCGAAACTTGCTTAAATGTATTTTCCCTATTTACATTCTTGCCACCGTATATATTGTATGTATACATTTTTGATACCATCTCCAAGTTTTTCTCTTTGTTTTTGTTGTATTAAAAGATGTTATGACTTTTTATTCTAAAAACCAAATTGTATGTTCGGTTTCGTGCTTTAGACATGTCCCGATTTTTGGTCACCGTGGTCACATTCCAAAAAATATAATAAATATTGAGGTAAATGCGCAGAAATTACCGCTGTATCTTCTTCTATGTTGTGTTATTTCATTGATGTATCGATTACCAGTAGCTCACTAGAACAAAATATATATTCATTTTTACTATGGGAGTATATGTAAAATCAAAACATTAAAGCCGTTTTTCTCGAGTTTGGTTTTTTTGAGTTATGACATTATTGAAGTAAATGAGAGGAGGGGTATATGCAGGTTCCTGTGTAGCATCAAGACAGATCCGATTGCGAGCTTTAGGGCGCTGGTATGACCATCAGCAGCCACACAGTGCCTATATGAAATGGAAATTTTACATAGTTATTGGAAAAAAGAATCGAATAGACTTAAGAAATTAGTCAATAACAAAAATTAATTAAATACAAAAATAAAACATAAACGACATCTATTGAAAATCATAATGATAACAATAGTAATCAAAACATAATAACAAAAATCAAAATTGTGATCCAAATTTCTCCTGATTAATGCCGGAATACCACTAGGCGTTGAATGAGACAAAAATAAAAAACTTCAACGTTAAAAATACTTTTCTCATTGCATTAATGAAAATAGTCATAAAGTCAAGGCGAATTCATATAAGGTGGTGTTGCTAGAACGACTGCTTTAATTCGTCTCGGTACACAGATGTCAAAACTTCTTATGAGTGAGTGCGAAAGCGAGAGTGTTGTAGTTTTCTTTCCTTCTTCCTCCTTAAGCGCAGAATAGCTTAAATTGGACATTTGTGTACCGAAAGCAAAACCAAAATACATGTAAGTTTTTGTTTTTGTACTACCACCCCTCATATGAAATCGCCTTGCATAAAAGTTTATTCCCACTTGACATTTTTTAAGTGGCAGAAATTTTTCAAAATTTCAATGCCTAGTGGGAAGTCGGTGTAAGTATTACGTTTCTTAGATCTAGATTAATTGTCATTCCAAAAAATTAAAATTAATAAAATTCATAACATCAAATTTAGACATCACATAACCGACTGGACTACTCAAATAAGGGGCATTACAAAAAAAAAAACGTTAAAAATAAATAAATTTTCAAAACATTCTGAGCATTCGAGCAGAGCAGAGTGGTAAATCTTCTCTTGCATATGTGGCGCACAGCCTCACTCGTCTTCTTACTAGAATAATTAAATGTCGTTGCTGCACCTGCTGCCGCTAATGGCTGACTGATAGCTGCTGTTGTTGTTGCTGCTGCTGTGACTGTTCTGGCATTCTCTATTGCAACATTTTGCCTATGCACATTGGCACTAATGCTGTTGTGCTGATGCTGTGTGTAATGATGGGCAGAAGATGAGCGTGCATTGCCAGCTGCTGCTGCTGTTGCGGCTGACGCCGTCGCCGGCGGAGGATCATCAATATTGATTTCACTGCCCACAATGGATAGGGAAAAACGCTTGGGTGGCTCATCGTTCGAGTATCCCCAATTGAAAACTTCATACATGGATGATGACTTACGACGATGATCTGTGTGGTGTATTGATTGTATTGTTTTTTTTTCTTCTTATATTTTTGTACATATGGGGTGATTGAATATTTTTTCATTCGGGTTTTGTTTATATCATTGCATAATACCAGCATACATATGTATATTACAAAAAATTATATACACAAATGCATGTATATATGTATGTATGTATGTAAGAATATAAATGCTTTGGTAAATGTCTTACACCCCAGCCAGCAAAATCATCCTAAATGAGCTCGTATCTGGATATTTTCTCGAAGAAACCCCGGATTCGTTTTCGAGTACTTTTTCAATTGAAATTGTGGAGCACCTACGAACAGTCGTAAACGTATCGAAAAAGCATTCGTATGCGAATTTTATATATTATAAAATATTGGGCTTTATGAATAAAAAGTAAGCAATTACTTTTTCTTAAAATTTTCGATCTTTTACTTAAATTTATTGGAATAAATCGAGTAAAAGGTCTGAAATTTTAAGAAAACGCAATTGCTTAGTTTTTATTCATAAGGCCCATTGTGGTTCAAGAAAAATTTCCAACAAAATTAAAACTTATTTTGTGCTTACGAATTACTACAAGCTATTAAATTTTATTGTTTTGTCGTTTACGAGCCTCTCTCTAACTTTTTGCCGATCGAGAATCCCTCGTAAAATATAATGTTTTTGCTGGCTGGGATGTATGTATATAAATGAAAAAAAAAAAGAATAGTAAAAAAAAAATTAAAATTAAATTAATTCATTCAAAAATGAACGTGTTGGTGCTCAAAAGAGTTTTATTGGTTGATTAACTGCCTCAATGAATGAATATTTTTGTCCTGAGATGACAAATTGGTGGGGAAAAAGGTATGTATATTTCCCTGCACACCTTTGCTAAGGCTGCACAGGCAAGCTTTGAAAAAAAAATAAATAAAAAAAAATTACAATAATAAGTACCACTCGTAAGAGCATTTACTGGCATTGTATGTAGATGAGAACAAACGCAAGAATTTTCAAATTGAAAACCAACTCAATATTTCAGTACTTTTGCACATATTGACTGTATAAAACAGCAAGCAAATATGCAAAAAATCGCTTTATAAATGCAAATTGTATGATTCGGAATAAATTGTATTTGAAAAAAAGTAAAGGAGTTAGAAAAAGGAGCGAATTCACAGTGGGCACTAATTCAAAATAAAATACTTCAAATATTTACGTCAAAGATAATACAAAAAAAATACAGAAATTATTTCAATGCACACACGCACACAATTATACGTAAATGCACAGCTCGAAAAATAAGAAACTAGAGTGTAAACAAACGCACAAGTAAGATTTAAACATAAAACTAATTTTCAACTGCAAAATAAAATTTAAAAAATCATTTTAATAACCAAATTTGTACTCTTGTTAAAGTAAGTACTTAGTTACACATATTTGCGTGGTGCCGTGCCGCATCAAATTTTGTTTCTCTCTACTGCAAGTAGACACTCAGCTACATATGTACACGGTCACCAATTGCATTGTTTTTTTGTTTTGTGTTTTTTCTTTTTGTGATGCTGTGATTGCCTTCAGTTCAATAATATTATGTGCTTTTACAATCTGCAACGTGGTACGTGGAAGTGAGTGCGAGTATATGATTACACTTACCTTCATGCCGATCTGTGCCACCGGCTGATATTGCACGCTTCTTGGCACCACTGTCGGTCAGTTCACGTTCGGAACTACGACGTGATAATGAAGCACCAGTAACATTAGTGATCGACGTCGACCTAAAAGAGTTAGGCATTAGAATATGGTTAATAGGTACATATGAATTTTATAACAGGAAACATGTCTACTATAGAGTATTTAGCAAATGAACTTTTTTGGAATGAATATCCGTCATCTCGTGTCAATTTTGGTTTAAAGAATCACCGCTTTCAAAGTTGTGCTATATTCAGTGTAATTTTTCGTTCGAAACAAAATTGCCAAAGGCTGAAGAAAATTCATTTAAAACAAAATTTACATTTTACTCTCTTTAGAAAGCATCAACAATCAAAAAAAAAAAATCTATTTAAAAAAAAAATTATCTTAAACACTTTTGCAATTTCAGTGTTTTACTAAATTTTCTGTGCCAAGCAGCGTAGAGACATCTCCTTACGATCGTAAACATCTTCTAGAGAGTAAAGGCTGCAGAGTGATTGCTTTAACGGTTAACGATGTACTTTTAGGGCCAGTTTTTCAGTGCACGGCTGTGGTTTAAACTTCGTTTAATCTAATCTCGAGCTGACTGGTTTAAACTTAGATTAGCCTATCAAATGTCAGCCAGCTGTTCAACTTGGGGCCAATTTTACAGTGCGTAGTTAACTCAGAATCGGCAGAATTTGGCTCTTAATCTAAGTTTAAACTGGCACTGAAAAACTGGCCCTTAGGAAGGCGTAAATTTCTGGTTACTCTCTATGATCCGATCCAAGGGTATTTGAGCCACGGATATAGGTGTTCTGCTAACGTGGATTCGCTGTAAAAGCTAGTAAAATGGAACTCGTTTTGTCTATTAAAAAGTAAAAGATACCCTAGATGGATGCCTGTTATGGAAGCGCAACATTGAAGAGAAAAAGAAAAAAACAACAAGTCTCTCTAATACAATTTGTCAGATGAGGGCCTCTCTCTAATGTTTTATTGAGTTCTCGTCTCGAACACTACCATTCATGCTTTTTGCTAGTTTCAGCAGATTTTTTTCCGCAGTCAGACTTATGTATATGGAAACCAGATCATAGCGATTTATTGGGCCGCAACTGTCGATTCGGATGAGACTAAGCCGGATTCTCACGGGCCCGGCTATACAGAGAACCAGGAGATGCATTCATATCAACTATCTCGCTTAAACGTTCAGTTATTCCGAAACCTGAATACCTCTGTAACCAGCCCTGAGGAGCTGCTACAACAACAGACGTCAGCCCTATGAGAAATTTGGTTCTAGGCACACAATGTTTTTTGTTGTAACTTCACAGTTACTGTTGGTAGTGATATAACAACCATCGGTGCTAGTCGTGAACCTAACCCAGTAGATAATTTCACGAGTTAGAAATCCTTCCGAAAGGCCTTTCTGAGAGTCAAGAGGCCTTCCACTCTATATTCCTTTCCCCTTTCTTTTTTGTATGGAGTGGCTCGAATTGAAGAGTTTCTTCTAAGTAAAACTAAATAATATAAATTTATGCGATCGCGTAAATTGTAAATGGATAAGCCCTGCTAGAAGGCATGCAAGGAATCACTTTTTTCAGCCCTTCTCGGGTAGGCCTCTTAGAATGGCTTAACTTAAGAAGGTCTACCTAAATTATCTTCTCGGAACCTTATCTAGAGGTCAAATATCCTTGGAACTTCTCTCAAATGAAAGTGAAGAAATATGAAATACATTTTTAAAAGCAAAATACATTTTACTTCAGAGAAATTAGAAATTTTGAACTTTTTATTCATCCTGTCTTGCCGGAATATTTTCCTCGCATTATGCAATAATAGTCGCAGTTCCAACATAAATCATTCCCTTATACTTTGCAGGAATGTAGTTAGAGCGTTGGGGCTTGGTCACAGAAAAAACCGAGCGGGTTGGAAAATACTACTTTTCATACTCAAGTAATTTTAAGAAATGAATATCAGTTTCTTCAAAAACTTACCGTCGATGACCCAAATAAGTGCTTGGCGATACCAGTCCAAAATCGGGCTCCAGTAGGCGTGGTGTCGACGAGCCAAAGGCAAAGGCAACTGTATTGCGGGGGCCTTTCTTTGTTTCCAAGCGGGAATCGCGTTCCTGTAAAGCAAAAAATATGTAGCAATAAATCATATTTACACGCCAACATCCACCTGCAGTATGTATGTACATCAAATGCTGCTACTGCAAGTGCAACCACAACAACAATAATGCGTGCGTGCATTTTCAATTATTTCATACCTGATTCTTCCGCAATATATATTCGCGGCGCTCCTTTTCCGCCTCGGTTATGGCGCGTTTACGTTCTTCGACCTGATGCCGCTTCTCCGTGTCGCGTTGCCTTATCTCCTCTATGCGACGGCGACGTTCCTCTTCTTTTTGTTCGCGATATCGTTGCGCCGCTTCCGCCTGCGCCCTTAGCTCTTCGATTTTTCTTTGTCTTTCTTCATTTTGACGATCCCGTGCAAACTTTAGCTTCTCGTCACGGTCTTTACACACTAAATATTCGCATTCATATTCGGTTTGGCACAATGTGTGTGGTTTTCGGAACGATGTTGTTGATGATTTGATACGGTGAGCGGTGCGTTGATTTTTGTGTTTTGGTTGGTTGGTTGGTTGGTGCATGGAATGTTGGAGAATTGCAATTAGTTAGTTGAGAGAAAAAACAAATGTATATGTGCATATTTATATTCAACTATACATATGTATGTACATATGTATATCTATATATATTTAATAAATGTTTTTGTTTGCATGACTTTAAATACATACAGAGTCTATGCATGTACAATCGATCATATGCATTTGCGGCAGTGCAACATGCGAAAACCACAAACAACGGAATGAGTGCAAATAAAAATAGAAAATTCCAATGTATTTTAGCGGTGGTTTGAAGCAGTAGCGGCTAGCTACTTCATCATAATGCATACAAACATACATAGGCAAGTCGAGTTAGAGGTAATGAATTGCCGCTTTGAGATTTGTACAATATGCAAGTTCACAATCGTCGACGGTAATGACGACACCTTATTTACATATGTAAGAAATAATAAATTTCAAGTGCATTTAGTTTATTTAAATTCAAATTAAGTGCAGCAGCATACAGTACAAATGGTTTGGGTAGATGCGATGAAGGCAAGGTAGCTTTGGTGGAATTTGCGCTCTATGGCAATACAGAGTGTAGGCAGAGGAGTTTCAGTGAAAGCGAAAGATTAGAGATGAGAAATGATGATGATGATGATGACCGATAGATAACTAGTCATTTGGTATTTATTGATTGAGCGAAATGTATTCACTTGGAACTCGCAGCCCAAACTAATAGCGACCCTTTTTCTCAAGCTTTGGATATAAACGAAACGGGACTGGAGGTTCGGCGGTCTTGAGGGAGCTACAATTTTGAAATATTAAGCGTGATTTTGGACGTAGAATACGTTTTACATTTCGATTTGAAGGCTATGCTCAAATGTTGTAGTTGTTATTTTTAGAGCTTCACGAAAACGCTTATTGCACGAGAACTAATGAAGCGATTTCAAGGAAAAGTGTGGCGTTTCAAAGATAAAATTGCAAACCTATCGACAGATTTAACATGCCAGATTTTTAAAATGTAGGTTTGTTTTTATTTTTAACCGACTTCTTGTCGCATAGCTTTGGACCACGCAAACCGATTTCGCTAACTCTTCTTTTTTTTCGGAAAGGTGGTACCTCAGGGGTGGTCCCATACTAATTTGGTTTAGATCCGATCATTGGATCATAAAGAAATTAACGGTACCCCAAATTTTTTATATGAGAATTTAAGTCGGTTGTATTTTTGCTTAAAAACGGCTTGTTGTTTACTCAAGTTTTCATTTGCTTTGACAACACAGAACAGCTGATGGTTTGGCACTTTCTCAGTTTTTATCATCAAAAATTCTTTGGGTAAAATCTTGCCACTTCAACAAAGAGAGAACCTCGTTTACTCTTATTTTTCCTCTCATTTGCCAAAGAACCGAGTATAGGAACGCTATCTAGTAAGTTCTGGCAAAAACTTACTCCTTCTGGCAAGATGGGGAACGCAACTATAGCTCTGATCCAGTACACCATGAACTTACAGGTTTTTACACGAACTTGCAGGAAGTTCCACGAAATGTACCCATACTCCAAAATCCTGTTACAGCAAAAATGCTTGTTTTGTTACCGTACTTGTTGGTATTTACTCACTTTCTACTCTCACTTCAGAGAGTAATTTTGCTATTTGACATTTTTATAGGATTTTATACGAAAAGTATTGGATCAGAGGTTTGTGGTGTTTGCACTTGATTTGGCAAGAGTTGGTCGCTGCATATTTTTTGGTGCTGTATGTAAGTTATCTAAACAATGGCGCATAAATTAAAGTTTGCATTTCTCATAAACTATCTTGATTATTTACTGGTGTTGATTAATTTTTCGACAGGGTGGGAAGATGATTAATTTTGGATAGAATCTCAGTCATACCGTGTCAAGTTGGGTTTGACGACAAACCAGTCTCGGCGTTCCAAAATAATTAATTTTATTTGTTTTTAATTTATTGACACAGTTTACAAGACAAGATTACTTGAGTTCGGTATAAGTAATTTACTCATACATGAAAAATTAGCCCTAAATTGAAATAGTTCGTTCGGACTTTTTAAGCTATGCGCATTCGGCTCCTTTTGTTATTGGCTTTTCATTTTTAATTCCACTAAGATGTCGATGAGCCGACTAGTCCATATAGGAATCGATCTGAAATCGTCAATTGTTCAAGGCGTAAGATGTCTAGTGAAGACACTTTTTGTGCTAAATTATATCTGTCTCCAAAAGATTGCTTCATATATATAGTCAGAGTAAAATTTAGTATATCTACAATTTGTGCTAATATAATATTCACAATTATTTTCAATAAAAAATTTGTTTAATGATTCTATAACATAAATCATATAAATCAAAGTTTCACACTTTATATAAAATTCCATCCAAACTTTAAACTTTTTATTCAGAATTTTTAGAAAAATTTCGATTTTAAACTTTTTATTTAGAATTTTTAGAAAAATTTAGAGTATGCAGTTTTGTTTCAATTTCAAAAAAAAGAAAAGAATCACTATCCGTCAAAGACCGTACGGAGGAAAGAAAAACACGAAGGATACGGAAAATATGCTAAAAAAGGCTGAGAAAAATAAAACACGAAGAATGCCAAATAGAAATATTTCTCAGAAAACCTCTGTCTGGAAAAACAAAAACGAAAAATCTCGAAAAGGAAAAAAATATCAATAAGGAAACTTTGTTTATAAAAAATAATTGGCATGTCTTGCTCAAAATATTAGTAATCAAATTCTCCATTAAGAGAGGATTGTAGTGGTGTCTTCGATAAAATGGTACGATATTTTTTTATAAAATTTATTTGATTTTCAAATCTAAAAATAGCTTTCATTAACAGTCTCGGCTATTTGTAGGGATGACAAACGTCTTTACAAGCAGTAATGAAGGGTTCTAAATAATTTTGACATATGATTTTTATTTAAACGACCTGTATACAGAGACCCCAAATATTAAGCAATAAAAGTTCAGGTCAAAAATAAAGTAAAAAATCGATCATATTCGACATGCTACTATAAAGCTTTCGCCTTATTCTGCTGTCAGTGTTAGAACATTGACCAAATTCATTTGTCAAAATATGTGATGCTCGTCTGTATGCAAAGTAAATAAGAATGATTAATTACTTATTGTTTAAATAGAACAATTGGCTTCAGAACAAACACAAAAATGCTAAAATTTAGAGAACTGTTTTCGGCTAATTAGTTCATAGACTGTTATCAAAATAAATATACTTTTAAAAATATTCTACCGGCACTAACATAGAGCCAAAGTAAGCACCAAAATATTGAGAGCTAACGATAACATGATAAAGAAGAATATGTACATACAATTCCACAGGTAGGCAAGAAGCAAGCGAGAAATCGAGCATTCACTGCGCTACATACATACTGACGCACTGACGTCATTTCAATAAATATTGTATTTGCATTCAAGAAAGGTTTGTTTGTATCTCTTATCGTTCTTAGTCATTAAATCAAATGTTTTTTGTTTTGAATTATTATTTTTTTTGCACAGCTTAATTTGTGAAAGAAAAGGAAGAATGTAACCCACGTTCTGAGAAGACAAAAGACTCAGGAATGGAATAAAACAGAATGAAATCGAATAATGAATAGATGGCAGAGCATAAGCACACAAAATTTAAGCAAATTAAGGCACTTAATTGCTTTCTTCTCTTACAAGTCGAAAACAAAGAAGTCGACAAAAAATATGTTTGCTCATTTTAAATGGCTAATTTGTATAGCAAAAAAGAAAAAAAAAAAATAAGAAAAGTAGCCAACTAAGCATAGAGCGATAGTACATATGGTCAAAAAGCTATGTAAGCATACATATGTATGTATGTATATATACTTGTGATCAGCTAATTAAGCCAGCAACATTTAGATAAATTTTGGCTATTTTTCTTTTGTTTATTTAATGTTTATTATTTTTCCATAAAAGTCTAGCTCATAATATAACAAACACCACATAAATCCAAATTTCAAAAATTGTGCAAAAATTATGAAAAATCTGCAAAGTTTCAGCTAAATTTTCAACTTTTTATTAAGATTTTTTTTGAGTATACAGTTTAATAGCCCATTAAATTCAAGGGTAATAATGTGCAAGTCTTAGGGCCGGTTACTCAATGTCTGGTTAACAGTAATCTGCGGTTAAACAACGTTTCGACGTCTTCGACTCCATGCATATAACAGGGAGTCGGTAACGTCGATAACGGTGTTTAACCGCAGATTAGTGTTAACCAGACATTGAGTAACCGGCCCTTAAGTTGCTAAAAAATCGCGTTGATTTTTAATAATTTGTTTTCATGGCGCATTTTTTTCCATACAAAAAAAATTTTCGAACTTATTTTGTATGGAAAAAAATTTGCAATGCAGTCAGAAAAAAATTATTAAAAATCAACGCGATTTTTTAGCAACTTAAGACTTGCACATCATTACCCTAGAATTTAGTGGGTTATTAAAATGCATACTCAAAAAAATTCTAAAAAATCATAATTTTTGCACAAAGTTTGAAATCTGGATTTATATGGTGTTTTTTATATAATGAGCTAGACTTTTATGGAAAAATAATAAACATTAAATAAACGAAAGCAAAATAGCCAAAATTTATCAAAATGTTGCTGGCTTAATTATCTGATCACAAGTGTATGCTAGTTTAGCTGACGGCATGTCAGTTTGAAGCGTGGAAAAAATCGGTCGGAATTGGAAAGTGTTACACACACATACATACGTACTTACTAAATATTTTTTTATTTTGCTTTTAGAAACTTGCATTCGGCCGAATCGCGAAAACTACACGTCCAGTCGAGTTGTTATTTAAATATTTGCATGCACAGTATTTAGATAATATTTAGTATGCTCTAAGTAAGTATAACATCAGGTTGCCCCACAAAAAAAGTTACGGAGCTTCCACCGGAATCATAAGATTTATTATATTTCAAGACTTCAAGACAAGTCAAAATAATTGGGAAAATTATTAAATTTTTTTTTGTATTCCGTTGATAAAGGTTTTAAAGCCGCTTTCTCAAGACGTTTTTTTTTATTTTCTAAGGATTTTAAGCTTACACTTTTCTATCAATTGAGATAACATTTTTTTTTTGGAAAAAATATTTTTAAGCAGGAGTGGTTTTACCTATATTTCAAACATCTTCGATAGAACGTTTAGTTAGACATAATTCTGGTTGTTGTAAGTCGTTTGCATCGACAGCCGTTCGTTGAATTATGTTGTAAATAAAAGTATTAACGACAGATTTTAACACGTTTTCAATACTTCTTCATTTCGAAGGGATAATAGGAATAAAAATTTGTTGTAGATTATGTCTTTGGTTGCCTCATAACGCCAATGAAAATCTCAAATCTCGACGAACGACTGTCAGAATAGGGGCCCGACTGAGATATACTTTTCCAAAATTCCATAATAATGTTACACTACTTTTCAAGGGATTGTTGTTAGTATCAATTTTGAGTAAATCAGCGCCCTTAAATTTCGAAATATCGAAGTTTCAAGCATGTGGGTAAGTGGGCGTAATTTTGGTCCGATTTCAATAATTTTCAACGTTTTGCTTTTATGTTGCAAGCAAAATAATAATCATACCGAGTTTGGTACAAATTGATAGAACAGTTTCCGAGATACACATATGTGGTCATAAGTGGGCGGGGCGACGCCCATTTTCCAAAATTTTATCATAAACGTATTTTTTGCTAAAGAATTATTGCTGATTACTGATTTATCGCAGATTTCGTATTTCTCTAAATTATCGTTATATGGGATATGACCGTGGTTATTGTCCCGATTTTACCCATTTTCAATGCACAAAAGTACACATACCAAGTTTTGTTAAGATATCACAATTTTTACTCGAGTTATCGTGTGCACAGACGGACAGACGGACGGACGGATAGAAAGTCACCGCTTAATCGATTTCTTTTTTATTCTGATCATTTTTCTTCTGAAAATTTTTTGGAATTTTTTCGGCGGAAGTCTTAAAATATAATAAATTTTATAGTTCCAACTATGGACTATGTGTACAATTTTGTATGTTGATAACTAGAATCATTGTTCTTAATAAAACGGTTATAATTGGAATGATGAGTAGTTTAATAGTTAGATATTAAAAATGAGGTATGCATTGCAATCTAACGGATATATTGTGTTCTCTACACTTTAAATGCCATTATGTAGCTTGATTGCTAGCTTAGTTTTCAAAATTCCTTTTGTTAAAGATTTATGTATGAAGTATTGCTGTTACGAGGTTTATGGGATGACTTCCTAATATATTATAACTAACATAGCTATCCAGTCTTTGAGAATTTATGATTTTAAACCGACCTTTAAAAAAATTACGAGCAATTGATAATTATAAAGTCGGCTTTTCATAGCACCAAGAATGTGTAGAGTGGAACGGCATTTTAGAGGTCAAAGTTTAGTATAAGGAAAAAAATCGAATGTATGGCCAACCCAATGATCTAAATGAAAAATTCGAATTCAGTACAAGAATTAGATTTTGAAACACAGCATTGGTCACGTCACAAGTGAAATGTCTCGCATAAAATAAGTAATCTTCATTCATTCATACATATATATACATATGTAACTAAATTATCACTGCTTTGCTTTTGTCGCAATTTTTTCCAACGTAATTAATAATTAAAGCTAAATTAATTTGTGGTTTGCTATCTTTGGTCGCTATTGCCGGCACAAATCGTGCGTTTCACCTTATGCTTCCAGTCAATATGCGATGGACACGCTACCGAAGCTGACGTATGACATTGTTGTGGTTGGGAAAGAAGACGACTATGTATGTATGTATGTATGTATGTCGGCTACTTGACCGGTAAGAAGCAAAAAAATAGCATAAAATAAAGATAATAAATTGTACATTCATGTATTTAAGTACTTAATCCACGTTCTAGCGTTTACACATATTTATTTACGTACATACATACGCATGTAGTGACATAGGCGACTTCTGTTCTAGAGTGTCTATATACGTCGTTTTACTTCTATGCGTATTTAGGTTTGAAAATTCCTACTTAGTTGCGACTATGAGACGCTTGCATCATCGGCAAAAATGTATTTCAAGTAATTTAGGTCGGATTTTTAATTGGCCGTTTTCAGTACATATTTGTATAACAGATTACATGAAACGATAGGCATACACATATGTAGATATGTATGTACATGTGTAAGCACATATGCAACTATGTATTATAATTTTAATATTCACTTATAAAGCTCTATTATTGCGTCTTTGGAACGTACGTATGCATTTTTGTAGTAGTTGTGACAACAAAGTCAAGCACAAGTGCAGAAGCAAAAATAGACAAATGTATGTACATACATATGTATGTTTCTACAGGGGAAAAATCAATTCATACCATCATATCGACAACCATCAATGCAAGGCCCTAGCGACTTTTTTGGTTAATAAATCTAGTAGATTTTCGATTTGCATACCAATCATAAAACCTTGGACAATTGGCAATGCATGAACGTAAAAAATGTCCCTATTATTTGCATTTTCATTTATTTGTTACGTATGCAAACTGCTCTAGAAACTTTCTGTATCAAAAAGAAAGTTAAAAAAAAAAATGTCGCTTACTTCTTTTTGGCGGTTAGGGATCGATATGTTGTACCTGCAGTAGTATATTGGATGCAAAGCACACTTAACTACCCTGCGCTTCAGTATCATCTCCACCCACTTGAGTCCACCAATGCAGAGAGCTCACATTAGCAATTACACCTTCCATAGAGTTCGAGTGGCAAGCACTTAGCGGTGCACAATATGGGTTAAGTGTGAATTTAGCTGGTTAAAATTTTCGACATTTAAAGATGTTTTAGGTTTTAAACGGCTTCATCATGTTGCAGTTAATTAAGAAGGGAAGAATGGAATGTGAAATTGTTTACCATGAAAGCCGAATTATTTACAAGCGTGCATTCATATTTTCAAACATACACACATACATATAATAGGTATAATGTATGAATGCATGAAATATTCACGTTTGTACCATAAAGTTTCTTAATAATACAAATGTATGTATAAATGGATGTGCGTGCAGTAATTTCGAAATGCTTATATGTAATTACCTTTGCGTTCGACACTGCCTTCTCGACTTTCGATTTTCTGAACTGGTTCAGCTGCAAAATTAAAGAAAATTTATGAAAATTACTAATAACAAAAATCCTAAAAATACTATGTGTGTTAAATAAACAAGAGCTTAAGCTGGAAGCAGGTTGATATTAAAAAAAAAAAATATTAATACAAATCTTAAAAGTCTGGTAATTGAAGATAGAAGATATTACGAAAAATTTCGACGGATTAATGCTGGATTTGTAGCATACGCAATCTATTGCTAGTGGATATTTATTATTAGCAGTTTTCACACAAGTTCTATGAATCTATTTACATATGTATACATGCATATATACATATGTACATGCATACAACTTAATGCGGAGCTAAAACGCCTATATGTATTTATTTTCTCACGTATTCTACGAATCAGCTGTACTGTAAAACAAACACAAAAAGGCGAAATCCGAAAACAAACAAAAACAAAAACAAAAACGAGTACCTCCTAGTAGTAAGCCGAAAAGAAAGTGGAAAATAGTGAAAACATATTTCAAGTATACTTTCACGATTATCTACCCTTCAAAATAATGCCTCTAGCATGAAAAAAGCAACCATTTGTGCGAATACTTTGCAGATAGTGCCAGATATGTATGTACACCTCTTACTTTATCGCTATTTGACTAATCAGTAATGAAATGCAACCAAAGAGATGAAAATTATCATCAAAGTTCTGGACAAAGCAATAGTCCTAATATATTATAATTCCGATAGTATAAAAACAAGTTTCAGCGGCAGAGCATTATTTATTTTACTTGAATGAAAGCGAGTTTAATATTTTAATTGTTCCCATTATAAGATCTAGTATTGCCGAAATAAAGTTTTTGGCTTCAACGCCGTTAGGATCGAAAACAGAAATAATTGGGAAATAACAAGTAATTTTTAAGCAAAAAATAAAATCGACTTCCATTCTCATATAAAAATTTAAGAGTACCGCTAGTTTCTTCATGATGCAATAATTGGATCTAATCCAAATTAGTATGAGGCCTCCTCTGAGGTAACACCTTTCTTTTAAAAGAAGAATGATAGTAATCGGTTGCGTCCATATAACGAATAAACACAATTTATTTTTTTATGGAAGAAACCCGCAACACTTTCGACGAAAAAAATTCTATAAAATCAACGGTGATTTTTAGCAACATGAAATTTGCACATTATTAGACTCAAATTTAATGGACTATATAAAAATGTGTAATCAAAAAAAATCTAGCGCTTCTGAGAAAAAAGTTTGAAATTTGGGTGAAAATATGTTGCACTTTTTTGCGGTCTTTTAAAAAGCTTTAAACTTGGGTTTATATGAGTTTTTTGAGAGAATGAACTGTATTTCAATTAAAAACTCAAAAAAAAAAATATATATATATATAAATAAAAACATGAGTAGCAAACAATATCACTTTGAAATGGGAGTGCTATTGTATTGGCCAATACTGTTAGTATCCATATATGCCATGTACATACATATATTTATTTTTTTTTTTTATAAATAGGTGAAATGATTTTGCTTTGCGAACATTTAATCATCATAAACGATCACACAAACACCTTTTTTAAGTACTTTACATACATATGTATATACTTGAACCTTTAGTCTATCATATCATTGCCATTTTCTAGATCCTTCAAATAACGTATGTATTTGAATTCTGAATAAAACCATGGCGGAGTCATACCAAGCGCGATGGAATAAAACCATCTAGAAATGCTATGAGCAAAGACATTTTAGTCATAGAGTTCAGCAACCCCACGACACCCAACCCCGACAGGGAGCGGTTCATCTTTTAACACAACTAGGACAAAGGAATTACATAGATATGTACATATGTATATTCCAGTGTATGCCAAACTTTGTACTGGTGATTCAGTTGTGCCGTGTCTGTGGATAAGCTATACAAATCACATCAATTTGCTGCTTATATACGAATTTGCCACCTAGTTGCGAACTTCGATGTACTCGTTCTTCACTCTTTTGTAACACCTTTAAAACCGTTTGACCATTATAAAGGCACCTGACATACATATATAAGTATTGTACATACACCTAACTATATGTATGCAAATATCAAAAAGTATGTTTTTAATCGATTTTTTCACTCCCCGCGAGTGCATTAAATTATTACTTGATACGAAAGAAAGTACTTAGCGATTTTCGACATGAATGAAATGCAGCACACCAGATGTTTAGCACATAAAT